ACAACCAAATTGAAACGACAAGCACAAGTGGCACAAGAGAAACACAGAGAGTGGGAGGGAGAGAGAAAAAGAGAGGGGAGGGGGCGTGTGTGTGTGGAACAGCTACCTGTGTGTGGCTGCAGCTTGATCTGGTTGCAGTTTTAATCAATGAATAATTTAAATATTCCGATTAAACAAGCTGCTGGCTTGGCAGCGGACATTTCTTTTAATTCATTGCAGCCAGCGGGAAGGGCAGCAATTGGAGCGCTTCGGGAGCTCAGTGGAGCCCAATCAACACCTTTTTGGCTGCAGACTATCTTCGTTTTGTTGCTTCTTCTTTTGTGGCTCACATGTTCGATGCAAATCAAGTTGGTAACGTCTGGGCGGGCACAGGACACAGACATTGGCTATCTCTCGGTCGATCCCGATGCCTGCCAAATGTCAGTTCCGGCCCGATTGCAAGCCAGCTAATGAATCATTTTGCTCAGCTCTACAACAGCCCCTCTGCACGCCCTGTCGCCCTGTCCCTCTCTCGCTCTGTCGGTGTGTGGCGCGAATTAATTATGCACACCTCTTCGTTTTCTGGGTAGTCGCATGTTGAGGTCTTGATCTTTGGACTACTGTGTTAATTGTTGGCTCTGGTTTTTGGCGCTCACTACGAACCGATTTGAACCCGAAATGGCTTTATTATGCCCTTCCTTTCGTCCCTTTGGCCAGGATGTGGCTCTGCCTGGCTTGGCGTCTGCCTTTTGGTAATTGGACCACCCTGCCCCAAAGCCGCGTGACGTGAAAGGATTTGATGCAGGGCCTTTGTTTCATATCGTATTCTCAGCTGTCAAGTGTAATTTGCATGCGAGGCCTTAACAGCTCCCTCCTGACAGATTAATCCACGTGTTAGACTGGGAAATTCTCATTGCATGAACTCTTTAGAGCTCAGATTCCACATGAACTCTAACTATGTAGACTATGCCAGCTTGTTTTACCTAGCACGTAATGTTCTACATTGGAGCAGCTTATCGCTTTCGATGGAACGACCTTGTTACCTATTCGTAGTTGATCAGACCGCCCACAGCTAGCGCCTCGCTTGGCATTCGATAAAATTCTAATGAGTGCTGAGTGCAGCATATAAAAACCCAACAATCCCCCATCGCAACCAGACAGTTCTGAGTTCTAATCGAAAGCCATAACATGGTCAATCAATGGAGCTATGAAAATAAATTCAAATTCATCAAATGGTGAAACAGAGACAAGCAGTTCATATATATCATTGTCGACTCTTTCCTTGTATACTTTCAGGCTGAAACGACAATTTTCGACAAGCAGTTTTTAATTTAATTTTCTGAAATGTTATTTTTATACCCTGAAACATTGAAAATGAGAAATCAGGGTATAATGGTTTTGTTGAAATGTATGTAACAGGAAGAAGGAGACCCAACAAAGTATATATATTCTTGATCAGGGCGACGAGCTGAGTCGATTTGGCTCTGTCCGTCTGTCCGTATGTCTGTCCGTATGTATGAACGCTGCGATCTCAGAAGATATAGGAGCTAGAGACTTTAATTTTTTTTTTAATGTCCGTACATACAGCGCGGATATCGAGTTTATCTCTTCCTTTTATATTAATAACGATAAATACCTTATTGATAGTCAGTTTTCAAATTATATCTCCTACGTCTTTGAAGCAAGAGTCTCCAAATTTTAAATATTGTATATTGACATGCCTTTTATACAATTTAGATTTTTGTTAAAATGTACCCTCCACCCCCTCACCATCACCTTTGTAAAACGCGTATTTCAAATACTAGAGGTTTATGAATTGGCTAATGCATGCATATCCATGTTATAGTCATAAATCATCATGAAGACAGTCCATCGTCAGGAAAAGTTATTAAGCGTGTGCGTGTGTCTCTTTATGCGCGAAATATTATTGATATTATTGGGGATCTTGTAGTCGAGCATTCTCGACTAGAGCTTTCTTACATGTTTCATTATATTTTTTTCTTCGTAATTTACGTTCATTATCAATTTCTCAAAATTTAATGTTATTAAGAAAGTTCGTTTAGAAGCCAAATTATTCAATGAATAAGATGCCATAGTAAATACTATACTGAGATCGACACGCGAATACATGCAGATAAGCAGCCTCGTCCACTTTAGACAACATATCGCCGCATTCCCGCGAAGTGATCGTATGTTGATTTATTGCGAAATTGAGATTTTAATGTAGAACTGTTTGAAAATGACTATGTCACATATTTGTGTACTTACAAAAAAAAAAAAAAAAAAAAAAAAAAAAAAAAAAAAAAAAAAAAGAGAATTTAGTTCACTCTAGTTTCGGAGAAAATCAATTTAAATTTACATCAATTTAATTGTACATGCAATAACAAAATTATAAAAATTCTTCTCCTGTAAAGTTACACTTTTCGACATACGATCATTTTGCGAGAATGCGACGATGTATATAGTTTTGAGTGTGACTGTTCCTTTTCATTTCTTTGCCCAGGATCTCCTTTTAAGACACGGATCCTGTCTGCCTCTTCATTAGAGACATTTTGGCCACTGTTATCTCTGTGCCGTCGACGAAAACCTGGCGGTCCCATCGCACCTATGTCACCCTTTTCGCCCTTAACACCCGGCGCACCTTGACGCACCTTGCAAGACTAGATCAGAGAGTTTAGATACTATGAAACCGTTATGAGCTTACTGTTGAATTTATGGTTGTGATAAATCAGCAAACATGTTATTCGTATCTCTGATAATGTTTTTTATAATTTTAATCGATTAAATTATATACATAATTTCTAAGCCGAAAAATATTTAATATTAGATAGTTCGAGCTGCGAAAGCTGTATACTTAACTCTAACACATAGTCTGATTGATTGAGTTTGACGTTTTAATTAAGAATATACAATATCTTTTGGTGTCTGCCACGCCTTCGACAGCTTACTAGGTAAATTTTCTATAGTAGAAATTGGTGGAAAACTTATTAAAGCGCATGTTCCACAAGAAAATATCCTGAACCCAAACTAAAAGAGCTTTAACTTATGTTTTATATTCTTGATGTTGAATACTTACCTACATGAATATCCTCATATAAAAACCCTTACTAAAACTGCTAGAGATGTGTATTTTGATAGATATCATTATCAGGCTCCAAAAATCCAGAAACTTCTTCGAACTATAAACAAAGTTATTCACTGTTAATTCCCTACTGATATCGACGCATTCCTACGGACAGATTGATAGACTGACAGATCGAGTCAGCTCATCGTCCACATTATACAAATTTACAAAACCATTTAATCTCTGAACCCATGTTTATTTGCCTTGGGGTATAATAATAAACACTTAATCATTTAGTTACATGCAATCTTTATTTTATTAGCAAGCATAAATAAAAGTTACACAGTTAAAAATTTTCCATCACACAACTTGACGCATGTTGCTCTGCTTTCTCTCGAGCCTGATAGTTGGTCTGCTTCAACAATCGGTACTACATATTTGTCCGCGCACAGATTCCTGGAGGTCCCATATCCCCATTAAAACCTGGTTCCCCCTTTATTCCTGGTAGACCAGAAAGGCCGGGGTCACCCTTGAGTCCTTTAGGGCCCGGAGCGCCTGGCTGACCGGGAATACCTGGTCTACCGGTAATCCCAGGAGGACTAGGAAGCCCAGATGGACCCGGTGAGCCCGGTGGACCCGGTGGACCCGCTGGGCCCGGCGGGCCCGGCCGACAGTGACAGTCTCCATGTTGATAGGCCTGATAAGGTGGAGAGTCATCAGACCCATCTTGGCGATGTTCCTTAGATGTACTACGGTTTGGAATCTCTATAGAACTTGTCCGCCAAACATCGTTATAAATGTCCTTTTTTGCAGATATGATGCTGCTGCTGACCACTAGGATCAGACCTAGGGAATAAAATTTCATTTAACACAAATTTCATTGATTTAATTTCCCATCTCACCTAAACCGAGGAATGTTGTGAGTCGAGTCATCGCCAAATCACATATGACACTATGGACATTAACCGATGTCATTTATACGCAGCTCTTCCATTCTGACGCGTTCATTTTACGACGAATATTCATGATAGTGATTTCGTTCTTAAACTAAAAATGTTAAGACCAATTCTCAAAGTCTACACTTACACGCAGGAGAGCGAGTGATTGTGCGAGCGAGTGAATGAGTGAGTGAGCTGTAGCTGGCTGAGCATCTTTGCAGCGTTGAGTTTCTTTACAAAATTCTTATCTTAATATGTACATTTGTACATATATAATAAATCATAGCGAATACCTAACAGAAAACTGTTAAATAAAAGTTTTCTTTGTAGATCACAAATATTGCCTCTATTGCCTAGATATATTTGTACATGATGTCCTGCAGAGTGTTAAATTGTGAATATAAAAATTGTGAAATTCCAATGCGAATTTTCTATTAATTAACAACCTTTTAGAGAAGCATCAGCACCAGTATTCGAGTATTCAGCATGATCTGGAGGCAGTTTAATCAATTAATAAACCCGAAATGGATTTATTATGCCCTTCTTTTCGTCTTTTTGGCCAGGATGTGGCTCTACCTGGCTTGGCGTCTGCCTTTTGGTAATTGGACCACCCTGCCTCAAAGCCGCGTGACGTGAAAGAATTTGATGCAGGCCCTTTGTTTCATATCGTATTCTCATCTGTCAAGTGTAATTTGCATGCGAGGCCTTAACAGCTCCCTCCTGACAGATTAATCCACGTGTTAGACTGGGAAATTCTCATTGCATGAACTCTTTAGAGCTCAGATTCCACATGAACTCTAACTATGTAGACTATGCCAGCTTGTTTTACCTAGCACGTAATGTTCTACATTGGAGCAGCTTATCGCTTTCGATGGAACGACCTTGTTACCTATTCGTAGTTGATCAGACCGCCCACAGCTAGCGCCTCGCTTGGCATTCGATAAAATTCTAATGAGTGCTGAGTGCAGCATATAAAAACCCAACAATCCCCATCGCAACCAGACAGTGCAGAGTTCTAATCGAAAGCCATAACATGGTCAATCAATGGAGCTATGTCTTCCTGCTCATTTCGCTGGCATCGCTGCAGTCCTCCCTTGGAAAGCCCATGGGCACAGTTATAGACTGTAAGTAGCAGTAAATCACCTAGAGCGGGACTTAGCTAACCCCCATTGTAAACCCAAGTGGATGCCTACTTTGAGGACGCGGATGGCAGCTCGCAGGAGCGCGTGGTGGGCGGCTACGATGTGCCCGATGATGAGTATGTGCCCTACCAGGTATCGATGCAGTTTCTCACGAAGAGTGGGAAGATGCGCCACTTCTGCGGTGGCTCCCTGATCGCCCCCAACAGAGTCCTAACGGCGGCACACTGCGTCAATGGACAGAATGCGAGCAGGATTAGTGTGGTGGCAGGCATTCGGGACCTCAACGACGACAGCGGCCAACGCGCCCAGGTGCAATCGTACGAGATGAACGAGAACTACGTGGAGTTGGTGACCAGCGACATAGCTATACTGAAAATCGATCCTCCCTTCGAGATGGACGACAAACGCGTTAGCACCATCGATGTGAGCAGCAGTGACCTGGTCGGAGCCGATCAGGAGGTGATGCTCACTGGCTGGGGATCTGTTTTTCATTTCGGCACCGGACCCTTTGCCAAGTATCCAACCATACTGCAGAAGCTGTCCTACAAGACGCTAGACAATGCTAAATGCAAGGAGACTATGACGCAGCTGACGGATACGGAGATTTGTGCTCTGGAAAGGTTTGGCAAGGGCGCCTGCAACGTGAGTGAAGAACTGTAACCTGGCATTATCTAAACCGAATAATGCATATCATTCTATCCAGGGCGATTCGGGTGGACCTTTGGTCATGGCTAACGGCGACTCTCTTAAGCAGGTGGGCGTCGTCTCATATGGCACCGCTTTCTGCGCCTCCAACAGCCCCGATGTCTACACTCGCGTCTCCATGTTTAATGCTTGGATCAAGGAGCGCATGGCCTAGGCCGGAAATTCCGACCTCAACTGTATTTGTTCATATATGAAAATAAATTCGAATTCAGCAGATGGATACACACACATTTATTCAAGCAGTGAAACAGAGGCAAGCAGTCGACTATTTCCTTGTATACTTTCAGGCTGAAACGACAATTTTCGACAAGCAGTTTTAAATTTTAAATTTCCTACAATTTTTTTTATTATTATTTTATGCTTATTGTTTTTTCTAAAGTATTCCATAAACTAATAATACATTTAATACTCTAGGTAGTCACTATATACTTTAAATGGATTGCGGCGCTGGCTTACTGCTAAGATTATGGGTCTATTTCCGCTTCTTGCGTGAACTACATAGCCTTCGACTGGCTGCTCAGGGCTTTCAGCTTCTATGTCGTTAGTCTCTCCACTATCGTTTTCGTCCTGATATTCTTCGTCCTCCACATTTTCGTCGTTTTTGTCTTTCGTATGCTCTTCATCTGCATCTGCATCTGCTTCTACATCGGCATCTTCATCTGAAACAGCATTTATATCTGCATCGGGGTCTACATCTGCATCAACATCTGCATCTACTTCTGCATCTGCATCTGCATCTGCATCTGCATCTATATCTGATTCCGATTTAGCGGGTTCGTGGCTCTGCGACCCTTGAGCTTGTGCCGGATCTTCTTCGGATTCCTCTACAGGTTCATCATCCGATTCTTCTTCTTCGCTATTCTTCCCATCATCCACTACTGTTTTCCCATTTTGTTGATCATCTTCAACGTTAGTTTCGGTTGAATCTATTGCAGCTTCTATTCTAGTAGATTGAGTAGATTTTTCATAAGCTCTTATTGTTGATTTCGTAATTTTCCTTTCTGATGCTTCTGTTGTTGTTGTGGGTACTGTAGTAGGCCTCGTAGTAGGTTTTCCTGTTGTTGTTGTGGGTAGTGTAGTAGGCCTCGTAGTAGGTGCTTCTGTTGTTGTTGTGGGTACTGTAGTAGGGCTCGTAGTAGGTGCTTCTGTTGTTGTTGTGGGTACTGTAGTAGGCCTCGTAGTAGGTGCTTCTGTTGTTGTTGTGGGTACTGTAGTAGGCCTCGTAGTAGGTGCTTCTGTTGTTGTTGTCGGTGGTGTAGTAGGCCTCTTAGTGGGTGCTTCTGTTGTTGTTGTCGGTGGTGTAGTAGGCGTCGTAGTAGGTGCTTCTGTTGTCGTAGTAAGTCCCCATGTTTGTCTTGGAGGCCACGTGGGTCCCCATGGTGGCCTTGGAGGCCAAGTGGGTCCCCATGTTGGCCTTGGAGGCCAAGTGGGTCCCCATGTTGGCCTTGGAGGCCAAGTGGGTCCCCATGTTGGCCTTGGAGGCCAAACGGGTTTCTTTGTTGGTTTATGTGGCCAATGAGGCTTGTGTGGCCTATGGGGCTTGTGGGGCTTATGGGGGTTATGGGGCTTATGAGGCTTATGAGGCTTGTGGGGCTTATGGGGCTTATGAGGCTTATGAGGCTTATGGGGCTTATGCGGCTTAGATGGATGTCCCCCTTTATGATGGTGATGATGATGGTGGTGTTCTCCGTGAGGTCCCTTGTGTGGGGGCACAGGATATGGGTAAATTATTTGCGGTGGATGGTGATGGGATGGAGGCACAGACCATACAGGTGACGGCTTTCCAGGGTGTCCTGGGGGTCCTGGTGGACCTAGGGATCCTGGAGACCCAGGCGAGCCAGGAGATCCAGAGGAACCGGGTGGTCCTAGAGCGCCTTGAGGTCCTGGTATACCAGGTGTTCCCGGTGAGCCTTGAGATCCCTGCGAGCCTTGGGGGCCAGGAGGTCCTTGAGATCCTTGGGAGCCTGGAGGTCCGGGTGGTCCTTGCGGCCCTTGAGGTCCCTGTGGTCCCTGAATTCCTTGCGGACCAACGGGACCCTTATCGCCCCTCGCGCCCGTGTCTCCCTTATCGCCCTTTAGACCATCGTCACCCTTATCACCTTTATCGCCTGGACGTCCTGGTTTTCCGGTTATGCCTGTTCAATTCGATCGTCAGTTAAAGTAGAGAATAGAATTGACCAACAAATACCTGGGAGTCCTGGAGGACCCGGTGGACCGGGGGGGCCAGGCGGGCAATTACATTTCGGTGGCGGATGATGATGATGATGATGTGGACGCGGCGGCGGCGGTGGGAAGAAAACTGGTGGCGGCGGTGGCGGCGGAGGATGATAGTGGGCAGGCCTTTTGATAATCACTTTTGGTGGAGATGGTGCTGGAGCAGGAGCAGGAGCAGGAGCAGGAGGGGGAGCTGGCACCTGAAGTGTAATATGTCTTCCAGCACCGTTGTTGTTATGATTTCGGGTGGGCACACTCGATCCACCAACTATTGCCAAATCTGGAATAGCATTGAGAGACAAATTTAATTTTAAGGATTAAGCATTGAAAAGTTTCAACTTACAGAGGCAGAGGAGCGCAACGATCTGCATCATGGCTAGAACTTATTTGCTGGGGACAGCATATAATTGATTTCTTTTATAGTGGCCGAATGGTTCTGCCTCACAAACTTTCAAATACTTAAACCTGATTAAACCGTTACTGAAATATAGAGCAAAACATTTTTACTTAATAGTTTTTTTTATGATCTTATCATCTATGGATGAATATAAATAGTATATATGTTCCTGATTTGGCTAGCTAAAACAACGAAAAAACTCGTTTCTTACACTCACGCAAGAAACGCGAATTAAATTACGCGGCTATAATGACTGCAAATGGGCCCAGAACAGACAATTCACATATTTCTGTCCACACTCTATAAGTTCATCAAAACTAATATGCTAAATAGAATAAATAAATACGTTCATTGGCACACCCAATGATCTGCAAGAATTTATGTTTGAAATCAATAACATAACATAATAGCGTAGGATAAAAATGGAACAATACTAACGTTTCTTTTTGTTTTGGTTGATCTTTTTATTTTGTTTGAAACACAATAAGCTAATTGGATTTTATCGGCTGCAAATGGGTATAATGTTTCAGAGAAGTCCATGGAACGAATTCCCAAAATAAATTTGCGGTTATTAAATATTACACTTTTTATTTAATAAAAGACTGGGCATAAATGGCTAAAAAACATTATGAATACCATTGAAATATATAATAATATATGTATAATAATATATTAATAAATAGAAATATGTAAAATAAGTACGGTCGGACAGACAGACTAGCTAAAATAGTTTAAGGGCTTGCTACACTAGGGGGTTTTAAGGGGGCCGACCTGGAGGACAAAAACAGCCACCCTGCGGATGAGGTGAATCGAGATAGGAGGATGGGGAAAATTTTCCAGATTGCTTGCGACGTCCACTAGATGAGCTAGATTTATGGCTTGGAATCTCTATAGAAATAGTCCGACCAACATCGTTATAGTTGTGTTTTTTTTGCAGAGCCAATGTTGCTGCTGACCACTAGGATCAGACCTAGGAAATAAAATTTCATTTAACACAAATTTAATTGATTTAATATCCGATCTCACCTAAGCAGAAGAACGTTGTGAGCCGAGTCATCGCCAAATCATATATGTATGTCACAATGGACATTATGCGATGTCATTTATACGCAACTCTTCCATTCTGACACGTTGATTTAACAACCAATATGTATGCTAATAAAGTCACCTTTAAGCTAAAGTATTTTAAGACCAGATCTGAGAGTCTAGATCTTATCAAACCGTTATGGGCTACCAGTTGATTTTATGGTTGTTGTAAATCAGCAAAACTGTTACATATATGCGTATCTCTGTAAGAAATTATGAATATTGAAATGAAATATACAAATTACATCATTTTTAAGCCGAGAATCTATAAATATTTGATTATCCGATCTGAAAATTGCATAATTAACTCTAACACATAGCTTGACTGACTGAGTTTGATGTTTTAATTAGGAATATCCATATATCTTCGGTTGTCTGCCACGCCTTCTTCTACTTCTTCTACTACGTCAAATTTCAATAATAATAGCAAGTAAAAACCTATTGTACAGCTTGTTTTTTTTTTTTTTTTTTTTTTTTTTTTTTTTAGAGAAATTATAAAATATATTTATTTACAGCTTAGCGGACCGCTACCTTATTGATAACTTAATCTAAACAGAATTACAATAATTTATCTACTTAAAAGCTATATTAATATTAATATTATATATGGAGATATGGTATTATGGGTATTTATGACAGACAGAATCAGCTCATCGCCCACATTAGACCAATTTACAAACCCATTTAAGCTCTGAATGAATGAATGAATTACAATTAATCATGTTTAGCAGCTAATTACATGAAATCATCATTTTATTAGCAAGCATTTTAGATAAAAGTTACACAGTTAAAAATTTTTCATCACACAACTTGACGCATGTTGCTCTGCTTTCCCTTGATGCTGATAATAGGTCTGTTTCGACTAGCGGTACTGTATCTTTGTCTTGGCCAGAAGATGAGCCATTGGGCTGGTCGCTTTTATTTCTTAATCCATGATCGCCTTTTAATATGGGATCCGTGATCTCTGGCGACTTAAAATCTTTATTCTCTGTTGAAGTGCGAATTTGTTCATTATCATCTCTGCGCCGCCGTGTAAAACCTGTTCCTGGTGGTCCCATTTCACCATTCATGCCCTTATCCCCCTTAACTCCTGGTTGACCTGTAAGGCCGGGCTCACCCTTGGGTCCCATTGGGCCCTGAAGGCCTGGCTGACCGGGAATACCATCTCTACCGGGAATCCCATCAGAGCTTGGAGGTCCAGGTGGGCCCGGTGGGCCCGGCAGGCCCGCCGGACAATAACAGCCACCATATGGATAGTTCGGATAGGGTGAATAGTGATAGGCCGGCGGGGAAAAGTATCCAGATCCACTTTGGCGACGTCCTTTAGATGTACTACGGTTTGGAATCTCTATAGAAATTGTCCGCCCAACATCATAATAGTTGTGCTTTTTTGCAGAGATGATGCTGCTGCTGACCACTAGGATCAGACCTAGGGAATACAATTTCATTTATCACAAATTAAGTTGATTTAATATCCGATCTCACCTAAGCAAAAGAACGTTGTGAGCCGACTCATCGCCAAATCACATATGTCACCATGGACATTATGCGTTGCCATTTATATGTAGCTCTTCCATTCTGACGCGTTAATTTTACGACGAATATTCATGCTAATGAATTCACTACTAAGCTAAAAAATTTGAAGACCACTTCTCAGAGTCTATATGCTATACAACCGTTATGAGCTTACTGTTGCTTTTACGGTTGTGGTAAATCAGCAAATTTGTTATATATGTGCATATATTGGTATGTATCCATGTAAGCTTTTATGACGATAGTCCCCCAACAAGAGGAATTATTCAACAAATAAATTCTGATAATATTGCGCACTGCAGCCCAAGCGCAGTCGAGGCTAACTGCGCAGCTAGCAGAGCGCGTACTTATTTGTGCGTATGGATGCATATGTATGTGCGCATAAAAAGAGTACATGATTGGAATATCAGCTCTATGCAGGGGTCAGGGTATCTTCTAGTCGAACAGTCCCGACTAGAGCACTTTTGTCACATTTTTGATTTAGGGTACATATGCAGCCTTTCAAAAAGTAAATACAATATACTAAATATGATAGATTTATATTTTTATATGTTGTAAAGAAACTTCATCCAGAAACAGAGTTATTCACTCCGAATCCCCGACTGATATCGACGCATGCATACATACCAACAGACTGATGGACTTTCCAACTTAATCTGAACTCATGGTCATTTGATTTGGCGTGTAAACATTTTCAGTTAATCATTTTTAGTGGCTAGTTACATGAAATCATTATTTTATTAGCAAGCATATTAAATAGCAGTTACAAAGTTAAATATCTTTCATCACACAACTTGACGCATGTTGCTCTGCTTTCCCTTGATGCTGATAATTGGCCTGGTTCGACTATCGGTATTATATCCTTGTCCACAGACAGATCGAGCAGTTCAGGATGATCATCGCTAAGCTGTTGACCAGAAGATGGACCATTGGCTTGTCCCCTTTCATCGGTTAATGCTGGATCGCCTTTCAATATGGGAAGCTCATCCACATCCTTAGGCGACTCAAAATCTTCATTCTCCGGTAGAGTGAGAATTTGTGCATTATCATCTCTACGTCGGCGTCCTGGGGGTCCTGGGAGTCCTGGTGGTCCCATTTCTCCCTTCATGCCTGGTGCTCCTTTAACTCCTGGGGGACCTGAAGAACCGGGTTCACCCTTTTGTCCTATTGGGCCTTGAACACCTGGCCGACCGGGAATACCTGGTCTACCGGGAATCCCAGGAGGACTTGCAGGCCCAGGTGGACCCGGTGGGCCCGGCGGACAATAGCAGTTACCAGGTGGATATGTCGGATAGGGCGGATAGGGATAGGAAGGAGGGGAAAAGTGTCCAGACCCATCTTGGCGACGACCTTTAGATGTGCTACGTCTTGGAATCTCTATAGAAATTGTCCGACCGACATCGTTATAGTTGTGCTTTTTTGCAGAGATGATGCTGCTGCTGACCACTAGGATCAGACCTAGGGAATAAAATTTCATTTAACACAAATTTAGTTGATTTAATATCCGATCTCACCTAAGCAGAAGAACGTTGTGAGCCGACTCATCGCCAAATCACATATGTCACCATGGACATTATGCGTTGCCATTTATATGTAGCTTCTGTGTCATCACAATTGAATTTTATTAGCTTTATTCATTCTAGGGAAATAACTTCTAAGCTTAAATTTTTGAAGACGCTATCTAGATTGAAGCCGTTACAATTTCATTGTTATTTTAGTTTGAATCTGTATATGTATGTTAAAGCATTCGCACCTTTATATACGAATATTTATGAAATTATAAAAAAGAAAATTATATAATTTATTAAGTGTAAGCCATGAACAAATCTTAGATTACTCGAGTTATGAAAATACAGGTCCACACATAGCTACATTTATTTCTAAGAAATTATGTAGAACGATTAACAAGTCATCTTAACTGAAACTGTGCCAACTTGAGTCGGCTATTTTTGCTTTTGCATAATGACGGTTATTGTTATTCGCCGATTTGATGGGAAGCCGGTTGACAAAATGACTTGCTATTGTTCTAGCCACATCGGTCCAATCAAGCCAATCAGAGCGTAGATTGTCATTGACCCAATTAAGAGCTTGGCAAAGAAAAAATCAAAAGCTGAGCGAAAGTAATGTCTACAATGAATTGGTTAGATCGGCTCGAGCTAACTGCTCTGGGATCTACTCTCTAATAAATAATTACAGAAATATAAAATATTCATGAATTATATATTCAGTTATGGTTTGCTCTTCTCGAAAGTAGTAGTAGTTCCCTAACGAGCCGCGACTTGGTTAGCCTCCAAAGTTTATCAGCTAATTGTTGTTTTCTGGGTTAGGGCGATGCATATGAGGCATATGCCAATTACCGGCATGAAGGCTCATTACATTTTGAATTTCAAGATCAAAACTAATGGCATAACTCTGCATTATCTATGTTAATTTTTAGCGCGATGAGTCTCGCGCCGAGTCCAATAAATAGGCCGAGGCATAGGCCAAAAGGTATGCATAACCCAAGCAAACATGGCTCTTATTGAACTCATTCTGTGGACAGCTCTGGCACTAGGCACCGTCACGGCACGGATCAATTGTAAGTAGGGATAATGATGGGGTGGACAGAATGTATATTTGCAAATACTCTCCGATAGCTCGACAGCCCAATGACTCTGCGCCCACTCGCATTGTGGGCGGCTCCGATGTGCCGCCAGGCGAATATGTGCCCTACCAAGTGTCGATGCAGTACCGAACCCGTGACGGACACGCCCACTTCTGTGGTGGATCGATCATAGCCCCCGATCGCATACTCACAGCGGCCCACTGCTGCGACGGAATGAATGTAACGCGCATGTCTGTCGTCGCGGGCATTCGCAATCTGGATGATAAGGGCGGATCACGCTCTCGGGTGGTGTCCTTTGTCATACACCCCGATTACAGGCCGCTGGAGACCAGCGATATCGCAGTGCTGACCATCGACCCGCCGCTGGTCTACAACAATATCAGCGTGGCACCCATTGAGTTTTCCTCCGATACATTTGTGGGCGGCGGAGTCCCAGTGACCCTAACCGGCTGGGGCTTGCGGCTCCCGACCGCCTTTCCCTTCCTGGACAACTTGAACTATCCGAATACACTGCAACGCATGAGCTACAGAACGATTACGAACCAAGAGTGCCGTGAAAGAGGCATGGAAGATGTGACGGACACGGAGATATGTGCCAGAGGCATCTTTAGGGGCGCGTGCTCGGTAAGCAAGTCATAAAGTTAAACATCATGAGATATGTGAAGACTCAATTCCTAATTGCAGGGCGACTCGGGTGGTCCCCTGGTTCGCAATGACAATGGATTCAAGCAGGTCGGAGTCGTCTCCTATGGACTGGTTGTGTGCGGCCTCTTCATCTCCCCCGATGTGTACACCAGAGTGTCCACCTTCAGGAACTGGATACAGGCGGGCATAGCGACCAGCAAATGATTCGATTGCTATATTCAAAACAAGTTGAGTTCGTCTGAGCTGTGCTGCCATTTAATTGTGTCCATTCAATTGGATATTCTCGAGACGTTTTAAATATATGCAATTTCACGTTGAACTAATTTACAAGCTTAAATATCGCGAATTCGTAAATTTGAAGGGACGTGGGGAGCATCTGTTGGTTGTTAAAAAGAAAAACATAAACGAAAGGAAAAATACTTAATACTATTCAGCAGGTGGTGCTTCCTCTGCAGCTGGTGGTGCTTCTTCTGCAGCTGGTGGTGGTGCTGGCTCTTCAGCTGGTGGTGGCGGTGGTGCTGCCTCTTCAGCCGGTGGCGGTGGTGGTGGCTCTGCTGCTGCAGCTGGCTCCGCCTCAGATGCCGGAGCTGGAGCAGGAGCTGCTTCTGCAGCTTCCTCTGGCGGTGGTGCTTCTTCACCTGGCGGAGCTGCCTCTGGAGAAGAATCGTCTGGCTTGGCAGGCTCTTCCTCTATCTCCACTTCGGATGGAACAGCTGTGACTAGAGCTGTGCCGGCGGCGGTGGATGTTCCTGTAGCCGCTGCGCCTGTAGCTTGCTCCGCGCTATCATCTCTGTCAGTTGGAGTTTCCTTCTCCTGGCAAGGATCTTCAATCTACAAATATATAGAGGTTAGGACCAGAGCATCGCCTGAGCTCTACAACACTTACCGGCTTAATGGCCTGGCGCTGTAATTCAGAATTCAAATGTTAGGTTGTAGTCTATGGCAAAAAATTGTCAAGTGAAAACCCACCGATAGAACGTAGCGGAAGAAGCGCTGTATCACGCGAGCAGCTCTGTCCAGGCGCATGAACTCGTCGTCGTCCTTGTCCTGCAGCATGCAGGTGCACAGGCACACGTGCTGGTCCATCATGCGGCGCACCAGGTAGCCACGATAGGCGGCTTGTATGGTGGTGGCCGCCTTGTTGCGCATCAGTTCCTCAAGGCGCTTGAGCTCGCGGTCGCGGAAGTATTGATAGAGCAGCTCGGTGCCCTGGGACTCTTTGCCTGCGGCCATGTAGGCGTCCACGAAGCGCTTGTAAGCACTCGCGATTGCTGGCCGAGAGGCGTCCAGCTCCTCCTCGGTGAATTTGCACTTGCGTATGAGCTCTTCCAACATGTCAATATCGGCGAATTTAATGGTCTCCTTGCCGCGTCGCATCTCGCAGCGACGCTTCTCCAGGAAGTTGCGGAAGCAGTCCTCCATTACCTGGGCCATCTCATCAGATTTCTCCTTGGTCAGGTCACAAATGCACAAATCGGATATAATGCTGTCCACCTGGCGTAGAGCGCGCTCCAAAATGGTCTTGGCCACTGGAGAAGAACTCTCGTTAGCAGGCTATCACTAAATACATATCCTCTATAAATAGAGCTCACCCAAGGCCTTCTCTCGAGTGACAATCACCGAGTGCAAATAGTCGATGATGAATTGGCATAGGCACTCCTTGGTCGGCTGGCAGCGCAGCACTTCTCGGGTTATGTCGGAGAGCAGCTCCGGCAGGCCTTCGGGCACATTGATTGCCTGCTGCCGCAATTTGCCGCGTTGAATTAAATAATTCATATTGCTATCATATATTTAATTGGTCTTTTGCTAAAATTATAAAAGAAACCCTTCAAAATAATTTTGGAACTGTTTGGGGCGGCAATTGTGTTCAGATCTACAGATTATCCTTAACTCGAAAACGAATATATGATATTATGAAAACAACTTTGAAGGGAAGCAAAGGCTACTGAGTTTCATCTGCAAAAGCAGTACAAATAAATTCAGTAGGAGAGTTGAAAATCGTATTATGATTGAAGGACAATAAATGAGCCTGAGTAATAATTGAACCTTATCTTCATATACATACATATACATAGCTATATTGTTTTTTATCTATAACGCATTTGCAAAAGTGGGTGTGTTTTATTTCACCAGCTCAAGTCATTAAATTGCACTTGAATTTGCAATCCAAATTTATTTCTCAGCTGCGGGTAGCGACAACAGCACTAAATCGTTGAACCGCTTTCCATTTCTGCTAGTAACTGAACTTTCTACCCACTAGAGTTCGTCTGTTAAGCACTGGGCGACTAGCCGATACCCTAAACAAAAGCAACATTTGAATTTGAACTCAGACTGTGTGGGGCTTGGTATACACTCGTTGGCTTTCACGTGGTATGTACGGCGAGAAAGCTCAACACAGGGAACCTTAAGAACTAAAATATGCAAACTTGAAAATCTACTTTAAGTAGGCTCAATGTATATTAAGTAGATCAGGGGCGCTGTAAAAGACTTTTCACTTACAAACAGGGGTTTTTCCATCAAATTTAATAATTGCAGTTAGCTAAAGCTTAAACCATAACGAACTGCATTTCTCTTGAATGGTTTGATTCTTGGCTAAATTGTGATGTTGGCTTCTTAGTTTTACATACTTGTAATAATTGCATATGTATTTATTTTTGACTGTAAAAAGTGCAAGCATTCCAATAAGTATTCGTTCACATCAGCTGATCGTTCCATCGGGAACTGCTTGCCGTGGCTGTTCCCTCGCTCAAAAGTTGCAGCGCCGTCTTTGTTCGCGTGGGCTGACGTCAGAGCTTTTGAAATTGCATATAAAAGTTTTTATGGCATGCTGATTGTTTTCGATTGCTCATCGGATTTCAGTGTGCGACGAACCTTTCCGCCAAGCAGACAGCGTCGAAAAGCTTTTGCGGATAACACGAGCAAAAGCGGCTAAAGCTTTCACACCATGCAAAAGCTGTGTCGAAGCGTATGGGCGCTTGGTAATAGATACATTGTATATTAAAAACAATAACAAAGTAATTTGCTTAAGCTTTGTCATTCTGTAGTAGGTCAACGAACTGCCAGATGCGGCGACAGAGGTATCGCTTGCCTGGCCGCCCTTTCAGAGACCCATCAAATCCTGCAAAAGACCTGCCGCGACTTTGCCAATGCGGAACTGGCGCCCCATGCAAGACATCACGATCGCGAGCACCTGTATCCGGCTGAGCAGGTGAGACGCCTCGGCGAACTGGGCCTCATGTCTGTAACGGTACAGGAGGAGTACGGTGAGCACTGCACCCAGAGATTGGGCAGAGCCAGAGCCTGACTGTCAACGAGTACTTGCAGGTGGCACCGGTCTGGATTACCAAGCCTATGCGATAGGCATGGAGGAAGTGGCACGAGGTGATGCGGCCGTGTCGATTGTAATGGGCGTGAACAATCTCTATCTGGGTGCAGTGCAGCAGCATGGCACCGAGGCGCAGAAGCAACAGTTCCTGGTACCCTACACCCAGGGTCAGCACATTGCCTTCTATGCGCTGTCGGAGCCGGGCAGCGGCTCAGATGCCAGCGCCGCCAGTACCACTGCAAAGCTGAATGCTGGAGGGAATTACCTGTTGAATGGCACAAAGGCCTGGATATCCAACTCCAAGGAAGCCAGCGGTGGCATCATCTTTGCCACTATAGACAAAAGCCTCAAGCACAAGGGCATAACAGCTTTTCTGACCGAAAAGAATGTGCCTGGCCTGACTATAGCAAAAAACGAGAGCAAGATGGGCATGTGCGCTAGCTCCACGTGCCAGTTGTCGCTCGACGATATGTGTGTGCCACAATCTCAGGTGCTGGGATCGCCTGGAAGCGGCTTTCGGATTGCCATGGAGTCCCTCGACTGTGGTCGCATAGGCATTGCCGCTCAGTCAACGGGAATAGCCCAAGCTGCCTTCGAGCTGGCACTCGACTATGCGGAGAAGAGAGTAGCCTTCGGGCAGCGCTTGTCCCGGCTGCAAATGATTCAACAGAAGCTGGCCGACATGGCACTGCGCGTTGAGACGGCACGTTTGCTGACTTGGCGAGCCGCCTGGCTGAAGGATAACGGAATGTCTATTACCAAGGAGGCAGCCATGGCCAAGTTGCACGCTTCCGAGGCGGCCACCTACTGTGCGCATCAGTGCATCCAAATCCTGGGCGGCATGGGATATACAACGGATCTGCCAGCAGAGATGTATTACAGAAATGCCCGCGTGACGGAAATCTACGAGGGCACCTCCGAGATACAGCGTATTGTCATTGCCAATTGTGTTCTGCAGAGCATTTCCAATTAGTGTAAATAAGTAAACAATAAAACGAGTTTTTGTATGCGCATCTGTATTTAAAACTGTTGCCGATGTTAAATAATCGTAAAACCGCCACAAATAATCGGTCGTCAAACAGCTGATAGCATAAGCGGGGTAATCGGCCGTCCACCACAACGGCTGCGACCTGCGCAATAATCGTTATCGCCATTATCGAATTAGGAAAGCCGAAACAGTTGTACAATTTGTGGATAATCTGAAATAAATGAGCACCGATCTGTTGCAATTAGACGTGGACACGCTGTTTGAGCAGCACAGCGTGTCCGAGATCGATGCTGTGCAGAAGAAAATCCAAACAGTTGTGGAGAATAAGCGCGAAGAGCTGCGCACCATGGTCGGGTAAGCTGTGTGATGTGGCACGTAGAGAGCCAGCGTAACACAATTGAATAGGAATTAATATTTCTTTTGCAACTGCAGCGAACGCTATCGGGACCTGCTCAAGGCTGCCGACACCATAGCTGCCATGCAGGCGTCGGCAGGCACGCTCATCGAGCAGGTCCACTGCATCCAGAGCAATTGTCGCAGCCTCAACGAACAGCAGCTGCTGGGCTTCAAGACCACGCCCTCCGAAACCGAAGAACTGCTACATAAACGGGCGGTGAACAAACAGTTAAGCAACTACTACAGTACCATGGTCCAGATTAAACTGCTGAGCAGCCTGCCAGAGCTGATCTGGACCCACCTTGACCAGGAGGAGTTCTATGCAGCCACAGAGCTCTTTATATTCAGTAGACACATCAGCACGGGTCTACAGCTGGATGCGAAGAATATGCTCATGCAGCGGTTGCCAGTGGCACAGAAGCAATGGGAAATCTTGCGTCCATTCCATATAACCATCAAACAGGCGGTGCTCGGAGTGCTGGAGCGAGAGCAGCTCAGCGCCGATATGGCGGTGGACTGCATGTTGAGTCTGCTGTTGTTGGACAAATGCGACTTGAGTCAGGTGCTTCAAACTTTTCTGCAGCTACGTTCCACAGCGTACTTTAACTGCCTGCAGAGTCAAAGCAGCGAAGGTGAAAAGGACAAGCCGAGGCGTGTCAAGGAGCGCATCCTGGCCAGCTTGCACATACTGAACGGCACCATTGAGCTCCTAGACACCTGCTTACTAGGTTAGTGAGAGTTTATTTAAATACTTTAATATGATTTAAATATTTTTCTGAAATATATTTACTGCGCTTTTCAGCTGATGGCCTGCTTTTTAAACGCTTAGCCGAGTGCGTGGCGCCTACTGTCGCACCCAGCATAAATCGCATGGATAGCAGCGATCGAGAGTTGGCACATCTGCTACCCGACATTATAGCCGGCTATAAGCCGCAGTTTGAGACCCCAAAGCTATTGCCAGAACAGCTGTGCGATGCACTGCAGAAGTGGATGTCGAAAATTGACAGCTTGGCGGACAAACATCTGCAGCCCATCTTTGGGCTGGTCAGCAGCATGCAGACCATCCAAGACATCAAATTGGCAGCGGGCAACGCGCCCAAGCGCGACTATGCCCAGCTGGAGCAGCAGCTAGCGCTACAGCAAGCACAATTGGACTTCTACAAGCTGAAGTATATGCCGCTGATCAATGCGCGCATTCGTGAGATAATACGCAGTAGCTGGGTGGAGGCAATGCAGCAAACCTACGACGAGGTGGTCAAGCTCGTGGAGAACAGCAATCCACCCGCACCACTGCAAATCTGGCGAGAGCAGAGCGATGATCTTCCGTTGAGTCTGGCTGCTGCGCTCAGTGATCAGCCGAAGCGCTTGGCCAATCGCACCAAGGGCTACGAGGCGCCCACCATCACACTTTGCGCTCAGTTCGATGCGCAGCTGGCAGCGATTGTACAGGAGCTGAATGTGCTGCTCCAAGAGCAAGCAGCCCGCAGCGAGGATAAATTGGCGTTGATCAATTTTCTGCGCGAAACGGCGGAGCAGCAATTGACGAGCTATCTGACTCAATTGAAGGCGCTGCGTCTGAAGGAGCGTCAGGCTCTGTTGCAGGCGCTCCGCAATACGCTGGCCCTGGTCGAGCTGTGCCCCCATCTGAAGCTCTGCTTCTGCCAGCCCAGCAGCTGGCGTCAATGGGTGGGCAATCAGACAGCTGCCGGCGCCGAGCATTGGCAACGTTTGTGTGCACTGATCGAAGAGGAGCTGATGCAGTTCTGGCAGCTGGTTGTCGACGATATTCTAGCTACGCACAGCTGCGCGGATAAGCTGCCACAGACCATAACACACGATGTTGTCCTAAGGGACTTTGCTGTAAGTAAAGTAACCTAATCCACGTCTTGGAACCAATTCTAACTTTTCTTCCTCAACAGCTGTGGCAAACGCTTACTCTGGAGCAGCGCGATGAGGAGCACGATCAGAGTGTCCAGTCCACCATACGCATACCCAGCCAGCCACGTCTCTCGCTCCAAACATTCTTGCATCAATTGATTGAAGCCCTGAACACAGCCGTACCACAAACGCTGCCCTCAAAAGTGCTTCAGGCTTTCAATCAGAAGCTACTCGGACAACTCTTGACTCACTACGAACATCTGTCGGCTGCAGAGAGCACTAAAAGCAGCCAGAACATTGCGCTGCAGCTGTACTTCGATCTGAAGTTTCTGGAGCGTGTGTTTGGGGTGAATCGCGAGGAGCGCAGTCTCTACGAACGGTTCCATGTGCTGCAGCGCAGTCTGCGCGACTGCATCGATCCGTTTGATTTCGAGCTGTTCGCCGAGCACATAACTACGCACGTTTCTCGCTCTACGGCTCGATTGCATGGCGAACTGGGCGTTCTCACACCTCCGCAGGATAACACGCAGGTTGCAAACGCTAGCTCGCTATCCCATGAGGCCGATCCCAATGTGCTTTGTCTAAGCTCCTCCGGCTCCACGTCGCTCTGGTTCCCATTGTTGCCTATTGTTATGCCGCAGGCGGCATCAACGACCACTCTTCCTGTCGAGCGCAAGCCCCCTGCCACGGAGGCAGATAAGGTAAGTTTTCCTATGGCTTTGCCCATAAGAGGAGATTATACCATATTCATTCTCTATAGATATTTTAATTTTATGGTAATTCATGTTTTTGTGTAGCCTATAATATCTGGGTAGTGGTCCGAGTATTGTCCATTAGAATATTGTTCATATCCCTGCATTACATTCCATATAATCTCTGTCTATTGACACTTCTAGTTCAGTAGGTCTGTTATTTCTGTAATATGATGAAATCCGTTTAGATATATGGCTGTGCCTGTGAGAGTATATAAGCTTCGGTACTTCGAAGAATAATATTATATATTGTATTTAACAAATATTCTTTACCATATTATAAACATACATATATATTTTTATTTTAGGAGCTCTTTGAATTGTAGTTAATTTCCAAATTTCTCATCGTTTATTCATTTGGGTAGGCATTGTGTGCTACGTTCTGTTTGTTGTTTAGCATGATTGTTGTTGATGTTTAAATAATTAGGGATGAATCTAGTCCAAAAGTCCAAAAATTATTATTAAATTACACTTGTTGAATCTTACGTTAACTGCTTTGCATGAGAAGTGTTGCACGCACTGCTTGCTGTGCACTACTTTCGAGTTGTCGCACAGCCAAGACACAAACCAGCTGCCGCACTCCAATTTAACTTTTCTATTAATTTCCGTTTCTTTTATGCATTTTTTGTTGTTAATGGACTTTAATTAGACAGCCCAATTTGAGCAATTAACAGTAAATAAAGCAAAAGAGCCATTAAATAAATTATAATTAGGTGCAGTAGCCACAGCTGTAATGGAATCCGCAAAGGCCGTCCGCGCAAAAGTTTTGTCTGTTTCCAAAATGGCAGAAATCTGAAACCGAAATCAAAAACTTGCAACTGCCACACACCTGGGTTATTGGCGAGCGCGTGTGTTTGTCTCTCTGTCTGTCGGCAGCTTAAATGGTAATTAATGAATTGGTCCATTATTGAAATCAAATCGTTGGGCAAATGTTAATTTATAGCCGCGCTGACTTTGTTGGTTATGTGAGCGCAGTTAGTCGCATGTTTCACCATATAAATTGAGCTCTAATTATGTCCATGTTTATTGCCCTGGCCCATAAATCTTTGCACAGTGCCGCAAATTAATAGATTAATCAACCCAAAACTGCCACAGCCCATTAATAACCCATATGTACGCCTGTATATCTCCCTGTAGGCGGCAACAACACCGACCCGCAAGCCCGGCACACGCAGGAGCGATGGGAGCAGCAAATCCAAGTCGAGCGCCGCCTCATTCTTCGGCATGTCCCAGGAGTGGTTCCGTTAGAGCCGTTTGCCATCAATGCCACAGCGAGTGCTCACAGCAGCAGATGAGCCTAATGAAGTGGCCAAGTGGAGTGCACGAAACGCGCTCATCCAACCGGAAATCCAATGCAGCAACAGCAGCAGCAGCAGCAGCAACTGTCATTGCTGTCTATTCAGTTGTGTAATGACTGTGTGCTGGGTGTGTTTGTGTGTTAACTGTTCCATTCCAAGCGTTTACGATCCAGAAAATGTTCAGTATGCAGCATGCAGCCAAATATCGTTATTCAACTACTGTTTCTTCATTTATAAGCTCCTCTTTGAATACATCTTAAAAATATAGTGGCATATTTATTCTTATATTGTAACTTAATGCGCTTTGTATTTCGGCACACCCTCGAGGGCTATTTTTTGCCTCCCTTTTTGCCGCCACCGCCTGCCTTTTGATCCGCTCCCTTCTTGCCACCTTTGTCAGCCGCAGGAATTGGTGGTTTGTTTTTACCAGCACCGCCGCCACCGCCACCGCCACCGCCTCCACCGCCTTTTTTCTGTTAACAAGAAGCATAAAACGGATTGCAAAAAAATAAGTAAAAAGTAATAATAGTGCACATAATAATAAAGCTTCTCAGAGAATAGCTGCGGGGCAAGTACATAAATGACATGATAAGTAAACTGGGAAAGGTAAATCATTAAATCAAATGAGACTAGAAAGCTTCTCTGTATTTAAAATTCTTGTGAATAAAATGTGTAATATATTCGTCATTATATATTTATGGATTGCATTGCGATAATGAATTGTGTAAATAAATATTTATATTATGCTGAAATCATTAGGAAAATTTAATAGAGTTAAGCTTTGGTTTTTGCTAGAAAATCTACTTGGATTGGATTAATAATAGAAAATTGGTATTGAAATATTGACATATTTATATATTTTAATTGACAAAGAGTTGATTTTATCACTGCAGCTATTTTGTTGAATTGATTTGCTGTCTATCTATAGTCAAATTATCACTGCAACTCAGTCGAATCGATTTCCTATCATTCGCTATTCTCACAAATGCTGATTCAATTTTACAATATTTAATTAATTTTCAGTTCCGCATTTTAAGCTTTCATTAACTCAAAACTTGCTTAACTGCTTCAATTCTGATCCCTAATTCAAAATTGAATTGAGTTTTGTTGAAATTCTTCAAGGTTATTCAGAAATTCCTGAGCACCTATATAATTAATAAATGTTATGAATATATATATATATATATTTTTTTTTTAATTTGCTCGCTTTAATAAATACATTATGCATAACCCTTGAGTAATTGTGATTTTCGGGGAATGTCGATCTTTAGCCTATTGACACTTTTAGACTCACAATTAAAACGCAAGTTGCATAACACAAATATTGCTTACATTGCCGCCGCCGCCACCGCCGGAAGTGCCACCGCCACCGCCACCTCCACCACCGCCTCCACCGCCGCCCTTGTTTTTGCCCATTCGAGTAACTTTCTTTGCGTTAAATTATTTAATTTGTTCGACTTGTTGGCGAACAACTTTCGCCGCAAGCAAATTGCAACTAATAAGCGCTCGACGCAAAGAAAAAAGAGGAACAAAATGCAAAATGCATAAATAATTTTGCAGGCGAGAGAACTACGAGGAATACTAAACCATGAAACCAAAACAAAATGCAAAAGCGCAAGAATAAAATAAAACATAAAACGAATCATTGAAAAGCCAGAGGAAATGGTTAGTGGAAGAGGGGCTGGGGGGCAGTGGCGGAACCAGCGCCGACCTCCGATGGCCGGCAATGCAGCCACAAAAGCAACAATGGCCAACAGCTCTCTTCTCCCTCTTCCCTCTTCCTCCTCTCCTTCTCATTCTCTCTCTCGCTCTCCCACTCGCTTAAGTGATTTAGTTATCGACCCCCCTTCAGCCACGCCCCCGGGGACATTGTTTGTGTCTGTGTTTGCTCTCGACGAAACGAGTGGATTATTTTGTAGTTCTTTCTATTTGGCATTTTGTGTTCCGCCTTCCCTCCCCCAGTGGGCGACACCGCCTCAATGGCGACAATGACATTGACATTGGGCTCTTCCGCATAGCCGCACCGCGCACCGCGCACCGCGCACCTTGGGGGCCTAATAAAAATGCAGCGAAACTTGCGAAAGCTCTGAAGCAAAAGTTTTGGCGATGATTGCGTATACTTAATATCTAGCTTTTGAGGCTGTTGCGTATGCTCAATGTGTGAATAACTCGGGAAATATGGAAAAATAGCTTCAGTTTATCTAAAGCAGGAATTCTCTCTACTTCAATTGGATAATCTATGCAAATGCTGATATTATTTACTTGCCAGGAATTTACTTAAATTCTGAAATTCTTTAACAAGCATAAGAATAAACGAACTGTTAAGATTTTTTCTGTATTAATGCTTCCGCAAAATTCTTGTTCATTAATTGAATTGAATGATTTTTTAAATTTTCCCCTCAAGACAAACATGTAAACTTTGATGCAATGCAAACGCTCAAAAAATGTCTTAAAATATGCTTTGCATAGTGAATTGCTCAGCCATCTGCATAAATGGTGTCTGCAGTCGGCATTTTAATGGCTTTGTGAGATACACTTTGACTTAAACCTGCAAAGGTCCTGGCATCTACAAGTAATTCAATTAAATTTACATGCGTGCGCACAAACAGACGCTCCAGAGTGGCTCAGAGGCAGTGTGGCTGTGGGTGGTGGTCGACCGGGGGGAGGTGCAGAAGAAGCAGAAGGTGACCAATTTAATAAATTTTCCACGTGCCTGCATGCTGCCCGGGCAGCTCGGCAACAATAGGACAAAGCTCTGTGGCAGAGTCGGATTTCTTCATATGCTAATTGTATGTGAGCCCGGCATCCAGTTGCTATGACGTTGACGTCAGCAGCTGACACCCGAATTAGGATGCCCCAAATTCAATGCATAGCTAATGAGCGAGCATCCCATCCCATTCCGTCTAGTCGACTCACTCGCCACGTGCTGCACGCTGCTGGCTAATTAAGTGCGATGCTTAAGCTGGTCAGTTGCTAAGTGAAACTGATCTGCAATGCTTCACTCCTCTCCCTTGGCCAGCCAGGAGTTTCAATCTGTGTGGCCTTGGCTCGCCGTGCATTCAGTTAATTCAACAAGTTGGAATCTGTTCATGGCTTATAAGCAATGAACATAAAACCAAATTAAAAGTGAAAAGTATAAAATAAGCTCATCAAATTACATACATGAGCCAGCGGGACGGTAGCTGAATGCCTTTCTCGAAACAAACTCGTATCGCCGGGCCATTTGCAGCAGGTGCAGGCGCAGGTAAGATAAACTCAAAGCCGCCCATTTGAGAGAAAGGCAAAAAATAAATGTAACCCAGCTATATATATACATATATATAAAGTACGGACAGACAAACTGTGGAAACGTGGGCGTGACCTGTGGGCGTAACTGTGCTGACTAAATACATATATAAGAGAGCTGCTGCAGCACGAGCAGGAGCAGCAGCAGCAGCAGGAGCAGCCGGCCACCGGAAAAGTGCGGAACTTTAATTAAGTTTTGGTTCTCCCAGCTGACTGACATCTTGAATTACAAATGAAAAACTTGTGTGCAAACTACAGGAAAACCTAAAAGCAGAAAAAGAAAGAGAAAGAGAGACAGATATATATATATATAAATATATATATAGCAGCAGGAAAAACTGGCAGCATAATAACACAGCGAACTAAAGGTGGAATGGCAGCGGACAAGAATGTGAATAACTTGCGTTTGGACAGACAAACCGACTGACAGCCAGAAGAAGAGAGTGCGAGAGGGACAGACTGAGCGACCCGGAGATAGAGCTGGACAGAGAGAATTACTGAGAACCTAAGCAGGCCAAAATACATAGCAGTAGTAGCACTGCCCCAGCTAGTTAGCCATTATAAAAGCAGCTAACAGTCGCTAGCGGAAAGGAAAGCAGCAAAAACGCAATGATGTCGCCGTACACTGTGACAAAAATCACAGTAGGTACATGTACTTCGGGGAAATGCCGTGAATGGAACAAACGTACAACAGTAGCCAGCTGAATGGAAAATTTTATATTCATGCCGCAAGGAAATGATTACAGCCGAACCAATTCAAGCAGTAAGTAGTCGACGCAAAGATACCCTGCATTAAGTACAGAGAACCTGAAATTAAGGGAGTATTGTAACTATTTACTATATCTCTATTTTGGTATTATTTATTATATATATTTTTCAACTTCAGAGATTTGCAAAATAGGTATAAAATTTATTTGAGAAAAATATCATATTCGAATAAAAATATTTTATAAAATATTCGTATTAAAAAAATATTACAATAAATCAGGAAAATTACCTTGCAGCAGCCACCCCAGCTATAGCTCAATTACAGGGTATTTTTAGCTGACTAACTTGTCAAATGAATGAATGAGGATTATCGCTGGCCTAAGCCATTGGATAGACCGCATTGGAACTTCATCATCAGCGATTTTGCTGGCAGCTGGCACTGCATTCGTTGCTCCAATTGCAGCTTGATTTTGCGCTCTGGCTGCGCGGGAATAGTTGAGGAGGATGAGGAGGAGGGGCTCGGTGCAGGCAACCAGGAAACAGATGTTTGCAAATATCTTGAGAAAAGTTTTGGCTGAGGTATTTAAATAAAGGTGCGCTTCAACAACTTTTTCGACAGCCGCAAAATTAACAAAAAAAAAAAAAAGAGAATAAGAAAAAGAAATCAAAGCGAAGAAAATATACGAAATGCGCAGCAAAAATAAGAGGAAATAAAATTGAAAATGTGCGGAAAAGGGAAAAGCGAAACCAAAGCTATTCAATTGCATCATTGAATTGCCAGATTATTCCAAGGCAGAGACTTGACTGTAATGGAAATTCAAAGGATATGCCAGTCAAGATCTGAGCTCCTAATGGCTGTCATAGCATGTGAACGAACATACATTTAGATATATGTATATATGGTATTTGAATATCAGTTCATATCTAAGTGAACAATGTAATGGGCTATGCGATAGCTGTCTGTGAATATTAAAGAAATGCGTAAGCCCTGGGTGCATTGCGATGCGAAGCATGATGTGAATAATTATTAAAGTAGTGCAATGTAAATCAATTATTAATTAGTATATATTCTAGTTCAATTAAAAATGAAAGCTGCTTCATGTAAATTGATTACAAATTGTTAGAGACTATAATTTAATATTATTTTTACTATTTCCTTCAACTCTTTCACCTTTCCTTATTCCTTTTTATATGAAATATTCTGTCTTTTCATTTTTACATCCTCACTAAATAAATTTGTACACGAATTGTTTTCAAATGCCTAACAACAAATGATGCGCCCGAAAAACAATAGCGACACAAGATTTGATTCACGTTTGCCATAAAAAAGACGTAAACTTGCATAAATCAAAGACCCAATGGAAAAATTTGTATGTGTTTATTTATGGTTAAAGACTTTCAAACTCATGTCTCTATCTCTCTCTCTCTCTCTGTCTGTCTCTCCCTCTCTCTCTCTGCTGGGTAAATAGAAATTGGCATTTTGAGACGTGGGGATGCCCCACACACATCGTTTAAGTGGTTCAGTGTCGGAGCAGCGCATCAAAACATTTTATTTAGTCATAAAAATCGCGTGCGTTTAACTCAACAATTGCATGGGTGAGACTTCCTCGCCCACAGTTCGGGCACATGTTAAACTGGTGGGCGGGTGGGTTTTTCTCGCAGGGAAAATCACATTAAATCACGGCGTGAAAGCATAAAAGGCGCTTCGCACGAAATTAAAGGTAAATAAAATGTTTATGAGTGGAAAGCAATCGTTCATATGATTTCACATTTGATTGAATAACATTTGCACACGCTAACGCCAGCCTCTGATTTCTGGAGTGGGTTCTGCTATCGCATTGCTATATACATACATGCACACACACATACATGCGTGTGTGTGTGTGTCCATATCCAGGCACTTGCTTCTTTGCCAAAGATGGGCAATAAATTCAAACTTGTGCACATAAATTTTTATTTCGATTTGCTGAGCCGCCCACGCACCCGCACCCGCACCAGGCCACGCCCCCTTCCGCACAGTGGCTCAATTTTATGAACTGTGAATATGGACGTCACGAAAAGACCTTTTGCTCCGCAAGCCCATCTGCCAGCAGGATGCGGTTGAAGGTTGCAGGATGCTGCCTGCCTGCCTGCCTGAATGTCTGCCTGGGGCGCTGCAGTGTGGTGCAGTGGTGCGCCAGTGGCATTCGGCATCACAAATTATTGCATCCGTTCGTTGCTTGGGATTACGTTAAGCGACGTTGTTGTCTGTCAATTGACTTGTCGTGTCCCACCGAAGGCGTCTCTGCGCTCCACGCTCTGCTGAGCGCTCTGTCTCTATTCAGATTTCTCGAGATATTCCACAAAAAGACAAATTTCTGAGGCCAGCTCTTGATCTAATTTTTGGCCACGGTCGACTTGGCAAACGAATGATGATTCGATTTAAATAAAGAGATGCGACGCCCATTCATCTCATATTGCTGAAGTTTTCTCTGAATTGACTGACTCCAATCAGTTCCCAAGCTCCATTTTATTTACGTACATAAAAATAATGAAAAAATTCGCTTTTATTGCCTCCTGTGAGAATTGAACTCACGACCCCTGGTTTACAAGACCAGTGCTCTGCCACTGAGCTAAGAAGGCCGACGATTGGGATCGCACAGCTTTGGTGTAAGAGCGAAAACGCATCATTAGCTAAGTGCTGGCGCAGATCATCAAAGCAGATATTAATTAGTTAAGTGCAACTTCTTGATAAGCGTACAGTGCGTCAAATTTAGCAGCGCATACGCCACGAAGCTGCTTCACATGCGATATTTGATAAGAGCGAGAGAGTGCTCGAGGCGCAACTGCTCGACTAGATGATACCCCCGGCCGAGTTGGCTGAGCAAATATTGAGTTTCCCTATTTACTAGGCACACGCTTATTGGACAGCTCGTGCAGCTCTGCTCTTGTAGGGTGTATATGGGCTTTGCTATGGGTTATTAATGGTTGCCTGACTTTTCTCCAAATGCAGTTTTGTTTGCTTGTGTAATAGTCGCCTTCATATGCTTATATTGTGGCAAAGCAGCGGTCCATTGGTTCATGCTTCTTTCTACGGATCTACGTTACTTAAGTTACGTGTTAAGAACAAAGTTAAATTTTCAACTTTGCATCGCTAACAAGTCAAATTTAAATTCTGACTGACAAAGGGATACATCGGTTCAATTCATCGTGTAGGTAAAAACTTATATCGTGAACTTACATTTTTTTTTGGCTTAGGATAATCAAAAAAGTTTCTTTCAAACTCGAAATAAGCATTTAAAATAAATACGCAATTTTGTGTTATTTTATTTTAATTTTTAAATTTATTTAAGTGTTGAATGTATTCAATGCAAATGTATTAGCTTAACAACACTGTTAGAAAACAATATAAATAGCCTAACCATCTGATATGCACAGGAGGACTTATTGATCAATACGCAATTGCTTAAATTCATAGTTAATGAAGTAGAGTAAAAAACAAAATCCCTTTCCAAACTCCCTTCTCTTAACTAAAAGTGTTATATCTTTATTAAATATATTAATGAAATACATGTATAATTTTATTATTTCTTAATAAGCTTACAAATTTCTTACTCGCAGTTAAAGTTGTAGCAATCTCTATAATAAGCTGTAATATTCTATTAATAAATGTACAATATTATTTACCAATTAAATTTATAGTAAAAGTTATTTGTTTATTTCCTAATTAAAATCCGACTAGTATCCAAATACTAATACTTGCAAATAAAGTTGGATATAGTTTTGCGTAATTGAATTATTTGTTGATGGTAACATTAGTTGAATGGGCTTTGGCCTTTGTCCGCGCGGCCCTTGAATAAGCTTCTAAGCATATATACATATACCTTGTAGCTCGTATTATCCGTCTCTATCGATGCGTAATTGCGTGCGCCATTGAGCCGCAACGTTTCATGTGTGCATGTGCAAGTGCGTGTGTGTATGCGTGTGCGTGTGTGCATGTGTGCGTGCATTTCCCTTGCTTTAGTAAATTGCCAAATCAATTGGCTGTGAGGAATACCCCCCCCCCCCCGCATGAAGCCAATAACAGCACCTGTGCATGTATTTTGACAGCCACC